GCTCTCATAGTGCCACATTGCATGTACAACTCAGCATTTGGAGAAAGTTAATTCCCTAACTGTGCCTAGAGAAGGCTTCTCCTCTCTCCCCCACCAGAGCCACCCGTGTCCTTTAACTGCTGCCACATCACCCCTCCTGCCCTGGTGCTGCCAGCCCTGGACAGCTGGCAGAACCCATCTCCAGCCTGAGAGCCAAGCCCAGAGAGCCCACCCTGGAGCAGAGCTTGTGCACACTGACCCAGCACTGCTTCAAACTTGGCTGGGGCCACTTGCTTTTGAAACCCAGGCTGAGTAACCAATTTGATAGTGGCAACACCGTCTGCTTCTCATATCACAGTCTAGTAATTAGCATGCTCTTGAAAAGAAGCATGAGATATGCATTCAGCAGTTCAAACCCTTGTCTCTCACCTCCTCAAGAAATGCCTTAACCACAGGGTTTTGGATAGGGGGACTCCCCTCTAAACAAAAATTCAGGCTTTGATCCTAAGAGGGCTGAATCCTCAGCCTAGCGATCAGGACACATGGCTGAAAGAGAAAAATCCTTTATCTGAGAACTTTTCATATGTTTTAGGCAGTAACTGGGGGTGGATAATATGAATTTGGATCTTGTCAGGAAGAGTCTGAGTGTGACCTCCCACCTCCTACCAGAATACAAAATATGCAAAAGAGGATCCATTTTAAAGGGAGAGCAAGACATACACTCCTTTCTGGAACAGCACTACCTCCGTGCTGGAACACACTTGCTTTCTGCAGTAGTAGGTAAAGACATCCCCACTCAGGAGGTGGCTGGTGCTTCAGAAACACCCACATCCTCAGGACATTTCTATTTCCTGGCTCTAGAGGTTCCCCTTTAGTGTCTGGAGATTCCTGCTGTCTTTGGTGAGCCTCAGGCTCACCCAAGGAAGTTCAAAGACAACACAACTGGTGTGGTAAAGACAGGGCACAGTTAGGTTGAATAATTTGTTACCTAAAAATTCTTCTGACAGATGGCAAGGCTGTTCTGGAACACTGTGAACATAACAGATTTTGGGACAGGGTGCTGAAGAGAACTGATTTTAGTGAAAAGTTGGATTTTTATCAAAATGACCTTTTCCACTCCAAGTGCCTGCTTTGCATAGAAAATTGCAAAGAAAACTCCAAAATTTGATAAGAAATTTAACATCCCAGCGACTTAACTGGAGTTCTGGTTTGGATGTCATTATCCTTCATGGCCCACTGGCTGCAACTGGGCTCCATGTCCAACATGCATCATTGCCAAATGTTTCCATGATGCATCACAACAGCATGAGAAAACAAAGAAAAACACCATTCTCATTAAAAAAGCTCAGAGTTTAAGGAAGAGAATGGAACCATTTGCCCTGAACACTTGCAAATTCCTTAATCTGACATGGAAAGCAGTTGCTTCTACCTTGCTTCTCCCCACCTCCAAAAAACCTGCAATATTCACAGTCCATTCTAATTGCCAAGGCATTTTCAGGCTGTACTCCTAAAGAAACGAGGCAGACTATTCTCCTTTTACCTGTCCAATGGTCAGTTCTGTGTCCCTTCCCTTCCTGTGTCCCCAACGCCTTCAGAAAGTACCCGACAGACAGGGAAGGGGGAAGGAGCTGTGAGTGCTGGGTGGGAAGAGTAGATATAAAAATCCTTAGTTCTGTTTTGATACTTTGCAACCACAGCACAGATCTACACAGCAGATCAGCAAGTCTCTGAGGTTTGAGAGGAAACACTGCCAAAAGATGGTATTTCTTCCCCCTTAAAAAAAAAAAAAAGTTGAAACAGTTTATTACTAGGTGTGGTATCGCATCGAAAGCTTTCAGTTTCAGTACTTGTGTGACGTATATGCCAAGTGCAGAGGGATCTTACTAAAACCTTCCAGGATGAAAACCCTCACACCAGCCAGTCTAGACATTCTCCAGTAAATACAAAAGTGGGATTAGATGGTGCTGCTATTCTAACCCCAAATAAAAACTAATATAAATTAAATAATAAAAATTAATTAAAAGAAAAAAACAACTAAATCAGGTGAATGTTAGCTAAAACTTAGTTGAGATGGCAAAATGCTACAATATAGCTTAATGAGGTAAATCCATTAAAATACCAATACTTTCTTAAGCATGTGTTTAAGTATATTTTTGTCTTATGAGAACTTTTGTAAGAAAGGACTTGATTTTCTAAATTAGAGTGGAAACCAACTCATTGTCTTCTATTTGGTACTTAGCATCCTACATATCAAGGTATTAAATTAAGAGCTTACTGAATTTTTAGTGTCTACTTAATATCTTGGCTTACTTTACTCCTCTTCTAAAATGTTTCATTTAAGTGAGATGAAAATTGTTGATTTCTGATATTTTACTACATGTCTAGGAGACAGAAGCATGAGGAGAAACTTGATTTAAATTATACACATCCGTCTCTCCAAGAAAAGGTTTTCTATTTGTGTTGGAATGAGCTTTTTTCCAATACCTGGTAATTCTCCTGGTTTCTACACACATATTCCACAGAAGAGGCAAAGGTTACTGGTGTATAGCATTACTTCTATACGATGCTGTGTGTTTTCATTTAGGCACTCCCACAATGATTTCCATATCTAGCCACTTGCTCTTCTTATTTCTTGATAAGTGATGGCCCTATCAGGAAGACGGGGGCGAGTCTGTTACTGCTTTGAGTAAACAGCCTAAAGGTCATTTTAGATGTTGGCTTTGACACTCTTGGTTCAGTAGACACCCACCATAGCTGTCACCACTATGTTGAAGTTACCTTCATGGAAAAACAGCCTTTCAGTGGGTCCTGTTTTCTCTTCAAAACAAGAGACCACCAGTGGGCACTTAAGGATGAAATGAGGAAAATTCTATCAAATTCTTCTCAAAGATACCTGACAGAGCCATTTGGTCTGAGGTCAGGATCCAAGTGCTGGAGGTCCTGCTGAGGTCTGCTAGGGTTAGGGGAAAGCCCTGTGTGCCCCAATGGGTGCCACAGTTCTAGCCAGTGCTCAAGGACCTGTTAAAGGAGGTTTCCCCAAGAAGTGACAGCAGCAGAAGACATCCCAGCCAGCTGGGCACAGGTGACTTTAGCAGGTGTGGCTATGTACACTAGAATGAGAGGGGTAAAACCAATGGCTCACATGGCACCCCCACTTGGGGTGTCCACCTGCACAGCTGTCACACTGCTCTCCAACCCAGGCTTCTGCAGGTACCCTTTCTCTCCTGCTGCACAAGATTGAGCAGTAGAACAGTAGAAGGCAGATTTGCTGAAATAGATGCATCCACTGCCAGAGTGTGTTGGCAGCACACACCACCACTGTGCCTCCATGAGTAAAAGGTCGTTCCAACACTATACTCCTGGCCACCTTCTCCCACACACTCTTCAGCATGAAAGCAGGAAGAACCCAGCAGACAGATCTAAAGATACCAACATCCTGCAAAAGAAGAGTTGCATGACTAAAGCTAAGATCCAGAGCAAAGGCCAAAGCACCCACAGGGTTGATACAGCAATATGCCTTGTACTGACAACTCTACAGGCAGAGCAACACATATTCCACAAGGGATACCACCACCCAGGGCAGAATCCAAAGTTCACTGCAGAATAACTCCTGAAGTCCTTTCAGAAAACTTACCACAAACAAAAGTAACTTTCTTGTCAAAATTAGGTTCTTCAGGCTCCTTGGCTCTCATTTTAGGCACCTGAAGATAAATTATTTCAGAAGACTATGAAACAGGCAACTCTCCCTGAAGTCCTAAGGAAAGAGTTACTGTGGATTCAGGCCCCCAGGATGCTATTCTGGTACTGCCTGGTGCTTCACCTCTCTCCTCACACCAGCATGCAGACAGCTTAGTAGCAAGGCATCTCAGACACTTCTTTTCTCCAGACTGTGCACAGCACTTCCAGTAACTGAGGTACAGTGTCAAATCATTCATCCTGCTGGAACATACCATCTGCATTCACTTTACAAAAGTGGAAAGGTACAGCACAGTCCAACCCTCCTTGTCCAGCTAGACACAGGTCTGGGACTCCCCTAAAAAGTGAAGGGACAGGTTGTACTGGTACATTACCTCCATTTTTCTGTAAAGAGAGGTAAATGCTAAAATATATGCTGTTAAATTTGTATAGGAAGTGCACCTTGTATCATCTTTGCCTCACTTCTGTGCAGCTAAAAAAGAGAAGAGAGAAACCAGAACTGTGATGAAGAGCTACAGAGGACAGCGAATACACATGTGTTCTTCCAAGATGATCCTGTCCTTTCAGAGCCAGACACTCAGGTTACTGCATTTACCAGCCCTTTTGCTTCAAGACACACATGACAATACTTTCCAGAACATCCTGTTCTTTTCTTTTCCACCATGCCTTTTGAAATCCAGCTGTAGCCATTGCGACCTCTGGCACTGCCCTCACAACCAACACAGGCTGTTCAGCTGCCTTTAGAGATGAAACTTCTGGTTTTTAGAAGAGATTCCTAGCACTATTCACTCTGAATGTCATTATCATGAAGCTGCTAATAGATAAAAACTACTGAGGACACATCCCATTGCTCGTTTTCCCTCCCTTCACTCCACAGCAAATAAGGCTTCAGAGACCTCTGCAAAAGCAGTCAAGCCCAACATCCAAAAAAGCCCTGTATGGTATTGTATAGGCACAGTCAGAGCTGCTTTCTCCAGACACGGGGCTCCATTTTCCAGTACATAATTTTCACTTTGTGCTAAACAGACAACAGAGTGTGAAAACTCCCTTTTTTTGGGTTTGACATTATCGTACAGACAAGAAAACCATCTGCAGTTTTCAGCTTCAGTTTTTGCTCCAAGTTGGGATCTTTCTGTTACTTTTCCCAATACATTTTCAAGCCCAGACACTAATTCAGTCTACTCCCTACTTCAGCTGCTCTTCTACTCTGTGAGCAATGTCTGCTTTTCAGCACGATGCAGGAGTCACCAAACAGCACCTGAGTAGGGTGCTTACAATCCCAGGATGCCATACCACAAAGCAGGCTCCTTGAATCCAGTACTTACCCAAAAAAAGGGCCTGAGCTTGCCAGCTGCACAGCCCAGCAGTGCTCACTCATGAAGGGTAGAACAGCACCGGTGGAACTTCACTGCAGTCCAATATCACAACCTGTCATATCTTCCTTGCTAAAGGAATCTGGGTAAAGAAAACACAAGCTGTATTTAAGCAATAATACCTTCTGGGAATGTCTAGCAACAAGTGCTCTGACGAACAAGCTGTGCCTCTGGCCCTTACCCTCACCACTCAACATTCTCAGGCTGACTGAGTTAAAATAGCTGACTTAAAAGTCATAATTGCTATTCTCAACAGTAAAATACTTTTTTTTAATGTACCTTTTAACATGCTGCAAAGTTAAACATGGCTTGCATGTTGCCATGGATATGATTTCACGTTTATAAGACTGGTCTTTCCTGGCAGCTAAATGCCAGGATGGGAACAAATAGCAGAACAGGGTTTTATTTGGCATTTTGCTTTGTTTAGGACAGCAGCTAACTACTTTTCTTATTAACATGCTTTTAATTTTACTGGAGATTCTCTAGGAACAGACTTCATCTCGTTGGCATTAAACACATCACAACCAATCCTCCAGTCTGTGTGAGCAGAGCCCTGACCTCTGTGGCACCACTCATGAGAATCAGGGTATAGGGTCAAGCCCGAGTCTGTTTACACATCTGCCATGGCTGGTATCAGATAGGATACAGTGCATGAAAACATCCTTTATCTCTGCTTGCTTCATCTCTCAACACAGAGAGCAGGGGTTGAGCCAGAACTAACTTTTATTCAAAATACAAACATTATCAATTCTGACTAAAATAAGGTACTGAAGTTAGGTTTCCATTTGAGGAGAGGAGCAGTTTCATTCCATAGGGTCCCAGGAAGAATGTCCAAAACGGAATTGCTAAATTTGTATCAATTTCAAATAAGCTGCATTCCTGCAGAAAGGCTAATGGAGCAAGAATAAAACCCAGACTGGCAGGAAGGTGTTACCAGTTCAGAATACCAAATCCTCCTTCACATCCACACCTAATGACTCATGCCCACATCTGTTTCAAAGGCTCTGTGTGTACCTCTAGCCCTGCTGGATGACTTATGTGGCAAAAGTCACCTGGTCTTCAGTGGGACAACATTTCACTCCTCAGTGAATGAACCCAGGGATAACTTTTGCCTGCTGGTTGGTTACATGTAGGATTGTGTCAGCTCAGCTGCTATCACTAGGAAATCTGAAAATAAGATGAAATTGCACAGACAAATCTGGGGATTACACCATGTCCCTCCAAATTCCACAGCCAGAGTGTTTACCTCTGTCTGTGTGTTGCTGTGAGGAAAAATTCTGTACCTATTTCAGTGTCAGAGATACATATCAGTCAAACCTGACTTCAGCTTTTGAAGTGGGTGGAGAGCAACACCGCCCCTCTCCTGTGCTGGAGCCTGCAACTAAACTGCATTTTACTCACAAACATAGCTGTAGTTCTGCTGTGTTCTGACTTTTAAAAAAAAATCTCATTGGACAGACACCACCAGCAAGTTTCTCCACTCCGTGGAGTGTCTTCACAGCCCTCCCACATAGTGAAAATGACTCAGACTAAACTACTAAATTTAGGGCATTGGTATTCTATGTGTTACGCTGGTGTTCATACAAGTAATGCCTTAAACAGTAAATTTCTGAATTAAGCATTCAGGCATCTTTTCTGTGCTGCATTTGCCACTGAAACAGAACGGCAACGAAGGTGGGCTGAGGAGGAGGTTATTTGGATCATGATTTGGCTTGTGTTTTGGCTAGAGCTATATGGGAATTTGAATGAGGTTTGCATGCACTTTTAGAATTATCTAATGACCCAATATCATTATGTTTGATCTCAAGTGATGAGATCGTGCAAGATTAGCTGCCCTTGGGAGATTCCCCTCATCTCAGGCAAGAGACAGCAGGCTTTGACTCACAACTGGGGAGGATTTCTCTGGGGATGAATAGACCAATTCCCACTCCTCAGCATCCAACTCACCCATCTTTGTGATGTTCCCCTCCTGGAAGGATGGTTCATGAAGCAGCTGCTGAGCTGCTGGTTGCAAATCCATGTAGTCAACTAGATCAGTACTTCTGTAACTCAATATAAAATAGAGAGAACTATTGAAAGTTTTTAATTTGCAAATCAGACCCTGCATCATGAGCAACAGTCATCCGTGTAGCAAGGACAAGGCAGTCTGGAAGAAACCCATGATGGCCATGAAGGTCTGTGGCTATGACCAGCATGTCAGGGCTTTGCAGAGAGATTGGCCATGTGGTCACTACCCAGAAAAAGGGACAGCAAGTCCCTGGCCCTACAAGGAGCAGAAGAAGCAATGAGACGGATGGCATGAGAAGAGGAAGGGGAGAAAGAGGAGTGCTAATGAACCTTGTCCGCTGAGGCACTCTTTTCTCTCTGTTTGCTTACAATCACCAACAAATCAGTGTGAGCCTGAAGTCAGGCCAGAACCTGGCCCAGAGACCACACTGTCCTTTAGTCTGACCACACCACCTGCTGAAGCCAGTGAGAGTTTATGTGGGTATCTCAGGCAAGGACATGGAAGCAATGACTCATCTATTAATGAACTTTGGTTCTTTATCTGGTTGCCAGGTGCCTCCAGAAAGGCACAGCTTTCCTAAATATTTGTGGGTTTTGAAACTGCTGAATAATTTGTTACAAATACAGTTCATCATCTGTTATCCAACTAAAACCATGCAATTGCTAGGAGCCATGTGAGCTGTTTACCCTGCACATTTCTATCACATGCCCTACCTTTGTTCCTCATCATCAGAGTACAACTCTTCAATAAAAATTAGGCTCATGCAAAAACATTTTAAGACTTTCACATCATTTGTTGTATCTTCCAGGGATGCACAGTATTTCAACCTGGGAAGCAGGGCATCCTTGTCTGAAGTTCTGGAGAGCAGGTAAAGAATAACTGTTTTCAGTAAAACCCACAACTTTTTCTTGTATGACCATCTGCCCGAAGGAAAATTTCCACAGTACAATGTCCACTCTTGTGCTGACCCCACCCAAGAAGCAGTGATCTTAAAAGACCCCAAAGTGCCCACTTCAGAGAATCTTAAAAACCCATGCCTAGAAGCGACCTGGAGGGTCACTTATTTAATCACTTTCCTTGCTCTAAAACAGAATAAATAACTTAGACCATCTCTAAGTTATTTATTCTTAAAAAAAAACATTCATCACACTTTTTCTTGCAAAAATTCAGACAAGAATATGCCACTTCTCCTTAAGTAATCCATGCCATGATTTACTACTTGTGCAATTAGAGAATGTTTTCCTAACACTTGAGCTGTGTTTCTTCACTTTATCACCTCGTATTTGTCCAAGCAGGCAATTTTGACTGGGTCAAATTACCCCATTTTATCCCCCAGATTTTGACTGGTAGAAGAGTCAGAGAATATAATGAAGGAAAGATGTTGAAAGCCAAGATCAAGAGATATACCAAGATCAGAATATCTATCTGATATCTACTGCATACTACTTGCCCAATAAACTCAGAAATTACATTACTTAAATATTAATTACTCTTGGAATTACATTTTAACATCATTTTACAATTTAGGTCCACACAAACTGTCTGACAAATCTGTCCCACTATCTGTCCAGGAATCCAAATCTTTCCTTGAGTGGATTCCCAACTTCATTAACACTTCTTTCTTTAGAATACTTAAAGGCAACTTGTGAAAAAGATAGGGACAAACTTTTTAGCAAAGCCTGTAGGATAGGATAAGGTGTGATGCTTTTAAACTAAAAGAAGTCAGAATTAGACTGCACGTAAGGAAGTAATTTTTTACAGTGAACGGGTGGAACAATGATACAGGTTGCCCAGAGAGGTGGTGGATGCTCCATCCCTGGAAACATTCAGGGGTCAGGCTGGACTGGGCTCTGAGCAACCTGATTTAGTTGTAGATGTCCCTGCTCAGTGCAGGGGGCTTGGACTAGATGGCCTTTAAGGATCCTTTTCAACCCAAACCATTCTGTGATGCTGTGAACAAGTAAATCTTCCTTGGTAAAACTCAGCTAAAATATCTCCCTAATAACTTCTACCTTGTGAAAGAGGGTTGCCTCGATATATCCTACCATAGTGATACATTAAGGGGGTTTTGCCCTATTGCCTTTCCAAGCAATATCTACATAAAGTGTCCCTCTGCCACTAGTAAGTGCTTCCAAGACTTGCTCAAAAGCATCTTTCCACTTGTCCACTAGGCAGGTGGCTTAAATGACACCCACCTGTCAAAGAGGCTCTGCTCTTCCTCTTTCCATCCTCACCCAGCAAGTCTGTCCTTCATTACTGCACAACTTCAGGACAAGCATGGATAACACTTCTCCATTTCTCCAAGTCTTTCTGTACAGAATGAGCTGTGTGAATGCTCCAGTCCTGCGACTGATCCCAGCAAATTTCTAACATATCTATGAAATATTTAATTTGACTCTATTGCTACAATGTCTGGTCATTTTCCCCATATTTGTACTGATGTTGCTTTCTTAACCTTCCAAAGATGCTGCTGTAATATTCAGTCTTTTAAACCTTTGCACTGACCTCTTTCAAACTGAGCATAAAGTCCTTTTCTCACTAGGCTGGTGAAGGGTGCACTGTAATAGAGCCCTATTTCTTCATTACCTGAGAGAAATTCACATCCCTGCCTTTGAAGTATGACATTAGCAGCCAAATATGTTATTTCCACACTTCTGATTTAAAAATTAAGTTGTTTGGTATCCCTGAATTGAAACACTTAATTTCTGTGAGCTGAACCAAAGTAAAATATTTTGATCTGACCCAGTTTGCCTTCAGTTTGTCTCACCTGTCTAAAGTGAGCCTCTCTGTCCAAGCTTTTTCCCATGATCCAGCACTACAGTAGGTAAGAGGAGAAATTGCAACACACCCCTGGTTAGATAATGCAGAGATGGGAGTGGCTGTAAGAAATAATCAGGATACAATGCTTCCTGTCCCAAAAATACCACAGCAGTTCACACAAATGGCTCAGATTCAATATTAAGTAACACACAGTAACCCAGCTCAACAAACTGTTTTGAAATGGATAAAACTGACTCAAAGCAAAGTATTTCAGTAGTACCCTCCTGGCAAGTCTTCCTAAAATCTCAATCTCACAGAATTTCTGCATAAAAGTCACTTGAACACCAAGTATTTTTTAACATAATAAAATTAGCAACTGTAGAAATAGATCAGTCATCATGACTTGCTGCACAGGAAGATCAGAATACTGATTCATACACACTTTATATACATTGAATTGCTTCAGAAACCCAGTATTTTTACATCTTCTTCATACCATCACAGTTCAAATGGAGGTCTTTGCTCTGCAATGGTTTGCACATGATGAGAAGTGATGTTAATCATGAGAACCACCAGAAAATTCTTTTGAGCCAATTAGATGGCATCAGTCACAATGATATTAGTCATCCACTCCTCACTCTGAGGAGAAGGAACCAAAAATTGTCATTCATCTACTCCTAAAGCTGTAGAAGACATGAGGGAAGTGCACTATTTCCCATTCTTTTTGCAATCGTTGTTACACAAAGTGACACGAGCTGCTATTTTCTGTTCCTTTTCTAGGAGAATGGTGGTTACTCTCTGTGCAGGTTACAAGAGACTTTGATCTCATTTAACTGTTTCTTACTTCCCCTGCTCTTTCTTGATCACTACATGATCCAAAAAGAAAAAGGGAGCAGAAAATATTGCCATTAGCCAGATGCCATTAGCCTCAGCACCTTGTAAGGGCAAGATGAGTGAGATGTGACTGCTGGTTAACAGTGACAGAGGAGAGAGTTGTCATACTTGGTGCCATGACTCAGCACACTGGTGAGAATAATTAGAAAAGCATGAGAAGTGATAACCAACATGTGGAAAAGTGGACACTCAAGGAAAATCTTCCAAAAAGGTCACAGTGAAGCATCAGAAGATGCAAACTGCAAAGGGTTCAAAGTGGAGGACTGTAAGAACAGATCGAGGAATGACACTGCAGCAGAGCCAGACTGCCCTGGAGCAGCCAGCCCAACAAACCACACTACTGAGATCAGTAAGCACCACTGATCTCAGAGAGCTGTGAGCTGGGGGAAGTCCAGGAGGAACTGATGTGGGGAGAGGCTGATCAAACCCTATTTTTCCACAGCAGAATGGTTTGGGTATCCCAGAGATGCTGGTGTAGCAATCTATCACTTTCACCCCAGCCAAGAGACCAGACTACCCAAAGCCCTGGTGAGCACAGAGATCTCTGCATGGGATGTTGTTCCAATGTAAGAGGCACCTTTGAAGCACTCAACTGTGGTATTCACATGTCTCCTGAACAGAGAGAATCTGTGAGAGAAGCAGAGAAAAGAATGATTAAAACAATTCTTATCTTATTTGCTGCTCCTGTGTTCAGAAGGCATGTGAATACCACACTCAACAGCTACAAACACCTCCAAGGCACAGGCTGGCCAGCTCTGGAAATATCAACACTTGAAATCCCTCCAACACTTTGTTTTTGGAAGAGAGAGGTAGTGAAAAAGAGGATGACAAATCAGAAATATCAATCCTTCTAACAGAGGGGTAAATAGAGCAAGTTAATAGTAAAGTAATATTCTTGAGAAGGCAAAGAAAAGATCTGTGGCTGAGAAGTCAAGATGCATCTAGCACATCTGGGGAAACTCTGCCAAGCTTGTCATGGCATCTGGTCCTCTGGGATGACATTTTGGCTCACTGCCTAGTTAGAATTTGCCCTTGAAGGATTTTATGGGCTAGATCCTCACCCAGAGAAAACTGTGCTGCTGCTTTTTAGAAGCTGGACGACCAGGAGAGAGTTATGTCCCAGATCTCAGACTGGTAGGATGGTTTTCTCAGGGGACCTACATCTGACAGCTTCACAATGAAAGGAAATGTTATCCATGGCATGAAACTCCAATTCAACAAACAAATTGGAAAATTACTTTACAAGAAGTCATGTTAACAGATGGTACCAAATCCAAGTAGCAAAGATCACAATTACTTCTTCACATTTTGCATTTTGTCTTGTGTGTGTGTGTACTTCAGCCCCAGAGAAACAGATTATGACTCAAGAAGTGGAGCTAA